GGAGCCAGTAAACAGTTCACACTGCATATGTGCTGAAATTAGCGGAAAGTGGTTCTGTCTTATATCCTGGATGGAAAGTGTGTTTTTCTTTTTCTACGAAGCAGTGCATACTGAATTTAAGGATTTTTCTTTATTACTCTTAAATCACAGCTAGCTGCTTAGAATTACTAGGAATAACACTTGCTTTAATTTCTTACACACTTGTTCTTGTATAAATATTGCATTTCACATGGATTGTCTGGATAGGTTTTTAATTTCACATGATTTTCTGAACTGCATTGTCAGCTAGACTATGAAATACCATTTGCCTCAAAAGTGGTGATTTTTGTTGCTCATACTTTTCTTTTAGTACAAACTGTTAAGTTACATTGGTATAGCTGGAAAGTTTAGATCAGGCTTAATTAAAAGTAGTCTAATGTGCACTACTTTTGGTTTGTTCATAAACTGTTATCTGATGCTTGGATGCAAAATTCCCATTAAGTCGGTAGTGGTAACTCAAAGCTTGTGCTTTTTTCAATTTTAGTCACTTTTTTTTTTATTAGGCTTCAGGGGGAATTTCTCGTCTTATGAATTTATTATTATTTAATAATAATATTTCAAGTTGTATACGCTTTAATAGAGAGGGCTGACTCCTGGATGTATGTGCTACCTGTCTTGTTGGTGCTCCCTTTTTTATATTTATATCTTGTTTCATTTGTATCTTACATCTTTTTTAAGCTCATTTCTATGTGTATTAATAGTATTTAATTATTCCAAAGCAATGTATCCTATTGCAAGTCCATTGTTCTATGAAAGTGTTACTGATGAGTTAAGATATAATTTTACAGTGTTTGTTCTAATGAAAGCACTTCAAGATAGCACTGAGAAATATTGGGTCTTTGTATTTTTGTAGTTTTTAATCACCTGAATGATTGATTATTTTAGCAGTTTGTTGATGTTATGCAGTGTATCAAACTGCTTTGTGTTAAATCAATGAAAATTTGCTGTTACCACAATCAAGTGAAATGTCACAAATGTGAAAACCAGCTTCAGTCATTTAGAGAGTTCAATGAGGGGAAAAAGGATATTTCAAATGCTCTGATTTAATTTGTCAATGTTGCAGTAAGTGCACCTTTCTGGTTTTCGTGACATTTCTTCATTAGATTTTTTTTTTATACATTATGTAGTCTAGGTCCTACAGCAGTTAAACTTTTCTACAGCTTAAAGTTATATTTTGTGGAGTCTTTTGCACACCATATGGAAAACTTAAATGTAGGTACATACGGTGTAATCTGAGAGTTACTAGTAGCTATGGTGTGATGTAAACCTTAAGAAATATTGTCAGTGTGTTTTTATGCCTAAACCTTTTTTTGTTTTTTGTTTTGTTTTTTTGTGGGGGAGGGGCATAGGAGCAAAGTAGTGTTTTGTGATTGTTTCAATTTTCCAGATGTGTAATTTATTTCATTTTAACGGTTGCTTGTGATTTGTATGACATGGTCACAGTGCAGGAGGAAGTGTGCTTCAGTGTGCATGAGTTTAATGCGAGTTTTATGAGTGAATGTAAAGGTAGCTCTTTGTGTGTGTTTATGTAGGCCTGACACCCACAAGTAAGATTTGTTTTGTTTTGTTTCTATAGGAGAGATTTTTAGAAGCCCAGTGGTAATTACAAGAAAAACCCTTCTACCTCTCGACTTCGTCTAAATAGCCATTCTGTCCACTCTTTCAGATAAAAATGGACATTGTGCCCTCATAGTCAGCATAGTATAAATTTAAGGATTTAAATAAGGCATTAAAAATATTTGTTTGCAATTTATAAATTTTAATGCATCTGGTTGATTTTTGTGTTTAATTTTGTTTAAAGCAGTGGATATCAAGTGTAAGTACTTTGTAAATGTATTCCGTTTTGTTTTTAAACATGATTACAAGTAAAAGCCTCCATTTAAATTTGTTTTTGCCAGTCTGTCTTTAAAGGAACTATGATTTGCAGTGTAGTAGTTTTGAAAAAGCTTTAAGCATTTTGATTAGGGGGTGTATGTGTGTTCTCACTTGGCTGTCATTGGAGCATGTCACGGATATATCACTGTTACTGTATTGGCATATTGTTTAGACAAGTTTTGGTATCATTAGTGATTACCCATTGGGTTGAAATTTAGATGCGCATGTAACAAAACTAGGTCTAATTTACCTCTTCTAAAATTTTAGTTTTTTTCGGCTTGCAATTATGGATGCTAATACCTATAGCACAATTTCTGTAACTGGCATTCAAATAAATCAAGGTCAGTTGTCAAATCACTTATAAATTCTGCATCTATGTATGTTTCACTGTGGTATTGGATCAATGGCAGCATTGCTTTTGTAGTGTTTTGTAATTCTTAGATGCAGCCAGGTTTTACAACAAAGGAAAAATGTGCACTTATAAAGTTTCACATTTAAGTTAATAGATTCAGCTTTTTGTAGAGTTCAGTATGGGATTAAATTTGCGTTCTCCTAAATTTTAGTGCATTTCTATTTGGTCTATAGGATTTAAAAAAAATGTTTCTTCCTCTCGCTGCTTGTGGGTTGATTATAGTGTATGTTTGCACTTCTGCAGACATTTTGAAATGTGGCCTTTTTGTCTTTCCCATGGATTCATTCATTTAATTAACTTCACAATATTTTAAGAGCACTTTCTTGGCCATTCTCAAATAACTGACTTTGTGTGGTAACACTTTTGTATTGTACTAATTACGAACTTGAAGCAATGTTTAAAGATTTTTGTTTTCAAGCCTTTTTATGTGGTGCTTTATGAAGAATCATCTAGTCTAGACCCGGTGAAACTGTGGATCGTGCTTTGCCCCCTAACATCACCTTTTTGTCTGTCTAGCACAGGACCTTGTTCATTGTAGATGATGCCCGATAAATATTGAGTCATCATGGAGTATCTCCCCCCCCTTTCCTGGTTGGTTTTTAACCAACTGGAAAAAATTGTTGTTAGCTAAATGCACTGAAATGTCATGGAGATTGTGGTGTCCAGCTTATAACAAATTTTTATGAATCTGAGATCTGCCGTAATTTTATAAGTCCTGTGGTAACATCTGGACCTAGTAAATGCTTTACACCTTATGACAGCCCAATACACTGACAGCTAATCTTGTCAAATATTCTTACGCATGGGTTCTGTTACTTCTGTTTTCCCTGTGCCTATGCATTATGTTCATTATTGTGGTTGGTCAATTGTCCTGCAGTGTGAGCCTCGTGAGTTGGGCAGCATTCTTACTGATTATGTGAAAATGAGGTTCTTATTCTCAAAAACAAGGACTTTTTGAAATTTTTAAAGTACTTTGAATGGCTTGTGTTGCAAAGGGATGAGGAATCCAATTGTTCCTGAGATCAAATTGACCTTGGTGAATCCATTTGGGTGCTGGCTTTATTTACCTGTCAGCTGTGTTTCACCTAAATTAGTTATGTAAATTATAAATTAGAATTTCTTACCCCTATTTTTAGTTGAGTGGTGCCTCTTAGGACCTAAAATGTCTAACGTATAACAATTTTGAATGGTCACTTGTATAGGACAAAATACAAACTTCTGTGCATGTAGCAGGTGCTACTGTACATATCCGTAGCATGTGGTGAGCATGACTATAAATGCATTTTACAGTCAAGTTTGAGATCCTATAATTGGTGTTTGTAGATTCCCATCTGAGCACTGCAAAGACATTGCAGAGTTTTAGTTGTTAATTTGAGGCAATCAATTCTACAGTGATTAAACAAAAAGTAAAACCTCTGACTAGTAGGTTATACAGAATTTCCTGGCAGGCTCGATTTTACTTGAGCCTTGTAAGCTTTTCTTTAATGACTTGGAAATGAAATACTCTTTAACAAAAGCCAGGTTTCAGTGGCTACCCGATTTAGTTGCTTATTTTTATGCTTTCAGGAATGAACAGCAGTTTTTTTTTTTCTTTCTTATTTTTGGGCTTTAACTAAATACATTAAAATACCTTATTCTGTGTAGAGGTGCTTCCACCAAAGGTGTGAAATATGTGTCAACTTGTGCCTAGTTACTTTGAGCCAAAATACTTGCAGCCTCTTGGCAGAATCTTTCACTTAAATTTCTGCATTATTCGGGCAAATTAAAATAGAGTTTATTGTATTTGAACAAAGATGAGGGTTCTCATGCATTAGGTTTCATTTCGTAAGCATATTTTGGGTCTAACCTCGTAGCAGTTTTGCCAGATAGGTAGTTTGGATTGTATCAGCTTCCACTGCGTCTGCCTAGTGGATGGCACTAATTGCAGATTCTCATGTTACAATAACCATTCATTATGCCAGAGGCATTGGCCATCCTCTGTTTCATTGTCTTTAGCCAGCATGCAGCAGGGTTGGCTGGGAGTGTGCACACAAAGGGGCGTGTCTACGTATTTTTGTCAGGATGGGAATTGGTTCAGGGAACAGGGTTTTGGATGAGTTGGAGCCCTTAACATAGGCAAGGATGTTTGCTGACACTAAGCAGCAGCTCAGTCAAGAGTTTTGTTGCGTAACCAGTAGAGCACATGTACATGCTTGCAACACTAACGGTTGTAATTGATGTGATGAAGTAGGTTTTCTACAATTTTCTGTCAAATGATTGCTATAATAGATATCACTCCTTTTTATTTATATTAATGCATAATTGTTTTGTATAGGCTGGTGTTTAACCAGAAAGCTGGTCCTTTTATTTGTGCAATTCTGTGGTTGCTTTCACTGTTGTCTAGATAACTTATATTACCTATATTTTAAAATGAAAGGTAGTCAACCATTTGCACTTAAGTGATTAGTTTTTTGAAGTAGCTCTGAATGTAAGGTTGAAATGTTCCATTTTGACTTGGTAAAGCTAATACTAAATTAAAAATATGGTTTAGGAATTATAGTACGTTCGCTAAAATTAATTAGAAAGTGATGTTGTACTGCAGGAGTAGTTTATTTAACCAACTGGTACAAATGTGAAGTTTATTTTTCATGTAGAAGTTGTGCTCATTCATGTCATTCTTGTTCTTGTATTTCAGATGTCGTCAAACCCTGGCCTCTGGTGTGCGTATGTGTGTGACAGAGCGAGAGAGAGAGAGAGCAAGTGAGCGAGCACGCGCGTGCCTGTGGGGGGGGGAGCAAGAGAAAGACTAAGAGGAGACGACGAAAGGGAGAGCGGGAGAGAAGAGGGAAGTGCACGGGCCAGGCCTGGCGGTGCTGTAGCAGCACAGAATGGTTTGTGGGTCATACGGGGATGCAGGCCATGCTGTGCTGCAGCAACAACACCAGGCAGACAGGCCCTGGCAAGCAGGTTGCGGGAAATAAGACTGCAAGCTGACAAGCAGCACATAAGTGGACCAGGCCCAGGAGAGAGAGGCTGGGGATGTCGTCGTCCCCGTCCCCGTCCCCCCGCCACCAGCACCCCACACACATACACACTGGCCGCCTCGCTCTAGCAGCACGTAAATATTGGAGTTAAACCACTTCTGATGCCTCCAGTATTGATCGTGCTGCTGAAGTGAAGCCGGCCGATCCATCAGCTGCTGTCTCAACGTTGTCACTGTCGTCTCCGCTGGGGGCTGCTGGGCTGAGATCAGGAGTCTTACACGTTACGGGGATCAGCAGAACGGGGGTGAGGTGATGGCAAGAAAGTGCTGCTGTCGGTTTGCTTAAGGTAAATACATTTCTGTTGCTGTCATTTGATTGTAGTTTCTGCATGGAGTAGTAAAATTAACACTCGCTGATATTTGCTTTTCTCCACAAAAGTTTCACAATTCAGTAATTTAAGCTTGCTTTTAAACTGTTAAATCTCTACTGGGCTATATATGCTTTATACTTGTTTAATGTAACCTGTAATTAAATGTCCATTATTGTACTGATCTGTGCTTTGTCATAATAAACAATTTATTCACAAATTTGGGCTTTCACTTTCATTAAGAATTTGGTATGACATAAACAGTGAATTACATCTCTGGAGACACTGAGTGAAACAGAAACTTAGCTGGACACCTGCAAATAAAAAAAGCTTACTTTAAATGACTGAATGAAAAGGTGATTTACTTTCCAACTAAATGGTTGTGTGTGGTTTTTTTTTCTGTACACTTATTTGAAAGCATTTCTTTCCCTGTGTGTGTAAGCTGTTTTAAGTGCTTTATCTGTGCTTTCTTTGCGGAGTTTACTCTTACAAAGCTGGGCCCTTCCTCTGTCATCCTCCACTCGTAAGCAGCCTGATCACGTTGGTGCTGTTCTGCCAGTTGTGCTCATCTCACTGTATGAGCCATTTGCATGTTTTGGATTTAAAATGTTTAACTGTCAAGGAAGTTCGGTCATAAGTTGGTATTTCCTGAAGTATGTCATTTGTGTTATGTGATTATGTAAATTCACGGCTAGTGTGTATATGTATTGTCCTCACCTTGCAAATTCATCCTCAGCAGAATAATCAGTGCCACACTGGAACGCCAAGCGGTGGTGTGCTGGCCTCTGCGGAGGCATTGGTGCCGTGGATTTTCATGGCAGTCGGCCCAGTGAATGTGGACATCGATGTTGCCGGCATCTGGACGGTACTGCTGTGAGAGCAGAGCATTCTAAAGAGCATGCATCCTTGGACAGCAGCTGTCTAGCGAGGTATCTCGCCGAAGCTGAACTTTGTAAAATCAGACAAGCTAATTCAAAGAGTTCTGCAGGTACTAAAATTCACTGGTCCTAAGAAACACTAACAGGGACTGAACAGAACTATCTCTAAATTCCTGTCGGTTCTCTATTCAGAACAGTAAACTCCATGAAGACTGCACAAATTATTGCTCATTGGCTTAAGTTTTTAATTTTATGTAATGAGTATTGTGGTGTCTGTGTATATATGTATGTATATGTGTGTGTGTGTGTGTGTATATATATAATGTATGTATATATTTTAATCAGTGTATAATATTTGTGTGTGCGTATGTATATTACATATCGGAGCTTCAGTTTTAAATCAGCACGTAACGCCGACCTTTGAAACGTTGGGCTACCGTGAAACTAGCATGGAGTGTAATAAAGCATATTTGATTTACAAATATGTCACAATATTTTGTTTTTTTCAGTTCCACTGGTTACATGAGTATCAGACTGAATTTAACAAGAGAACTCATTTGTTCGCGGACTACGATGTTTCGCCACATATGCAGTACACACATATCTACATAGCAGAATTAAAATGTTATTGTTAAAATACGTTAATTGAAATATCAAATCATCCTCATTTATGCAGAACATAACTCGAGCTAAGAGTTAAAGTGACTTTATGGTGGATAACGGGCACAAAAGTTTCGAAAAAATCCTGAACCTCTTATTCCCCTACATTTAAATACGTTATTCAATGTATGCAGCCCTTCTGAAAATATTAAATGTAATTAATTTTATACATTTATTTTCAAATTGATTGAAATCGAACTACTTGTGACTTCGCATTATTATACACACTATTATACTTAACACTATTATTAAAAAATAAAAGCGGTTTATCGAGTTTCATCGTCCTAAATAGGACGGAGGGCGTGTTTTACTGTAGTTTGCGTGAAATACGAACGGGAACGTTTAAATTACAGATAAATGTAGATAAAAATACTTAATTATCTACTTTCGAAACTGCTTATCCAGGTGGTATTTGTGGTGTTTTCTTATATTTAAATCCCTAAAATAACTGAATCGGTCTTGTTCTGGAGTAACTTACTGTAATGTAATGAATGTTACATTATAAATTTTCATTTTATATTCTTGAAATGATGCATTTTTATTTTATGCAGAATACTCGCGGCTGAATGGATCGAACGCCTTACAGGACAGAGATTTAAATATTTTATTTTGCCGTTTAAGGCTTAATTGGAGTGGTGGAATTGTGATTTTGCAATGATTTAGTATATTTGTCTTTGGAGTGAAACTCAGTCAATTAAACCAAATGCATATGGTTACTTTAAAAGGGGAGATTTCAGTTATTTAGACTACATTCGAGCAGTGCTAAGACTTGATTAAATGAATTGCGTGAATGTCCCCAAATAGAGAGTTGTGCAACGATGCAGCAAGACAAAATAATCTGAGTCACAGGCGATGGCAATTTTGCATCGACGAGGTCCTTTAACATGGAACACAAGCAAAGAAGAAGAATAGTGATATTTAATGGTTAACTTTATGCGGGTATTCTGGGGCAACGCTGACAGGGAAACATTAGCAAAACAAATACCCTCGTTGAATTAAAAAATCATTTACCGGTCTTAATGCTTGAAAAGCGTACGATATTCATTTTAACTGAAAGTCATATACAACATGTAATGCACGCGTTTCGTGGCGGATTAAAGAAAAAAGTTAAATAATTTTAATTTGCACGCCTAACCATCAGGCTTCCTTATAGAGAGGCTTTTACATTTTAAATGATAAACTTAGTCAAAGTTTATTTTTAAATGTAGAGAGCACGATACGGCCGACAGCATAGTACGCAAATCCTTATGAAGAGTAATATGCTTTTATGTTAATTGGTGACCAGTTCGTACTAATTTATACTGCCGTGCGTAATGTAACTATAAGCGTGTACCTGTATTTGCATGATAGCAATGCGGTATTTTGTTTTGACACTGAATTGCGAGAAAATCTATTTGTTACTACTTCATCAGTGATTTGCCTGGCAACAGTAGGCTATATATACTTTCACTGATATGGCTGTGTTGGTTATTAACATGTAGTTACTGCTCTCTTGTTGGACATGGTACCTGGAGTGAAACTGGAGTTTTATTTAAGGATTTCTTGTGTTTGAAACATTTTAGCTGAGACTAAGCCACTGTCCGTATCGGTGTCTTAACTTTTACCACTGGGTAATTTTTTGTTTTCATTATTTCCATCTCCCCCCCCCCGTGATAATTTTGTTACGGTAAACCTAATTTGCGCAAAATATAACACGTAGGCCTACGTCAGGTTTACACTTAAAAATGAGGATTATTACCAAGATGCGCATATTGGTACAAACTGGGGAAAATACAAAGTTTCATTCAAATAACGTTTGTACTAAAGTTGTATTTCACAAATTTCAAAGACTGCATTATTCTTAATTTTAATTATAAGCATTATTATATTAAGCAAACATGCAGTATAGCACAGTTTGCAATTTCTGCGCGACTCGTTATCCAGGACCCAGCTCAGTTATGCAATACATCTCCTTGAACTGTTATTGTGAAAGCTGAATCACCAGCCTTTGTTGACTCAAAAAACGTTACTGCTGATGACTACCAAAATAATTAAATGAATAAACCCCTTGAATGAGTTTACATATTCATTAAGACTACGTGATGGGTTGTAGTAGGCGAGCTCAAAATATCGAGCCTATTAATTAACGTCACTGCTGACGTTGGGAAGGGAAGGTGGGATGTGCGTGACAAAAACCGAATTCCAAACGGGCCCCGCCACTTCAGAAACGGCTAATTCATTAGTTTTATTAAACAGTATAATGTTAATGTTATTACACAGCTTTTCAGCCACAACAAACTATTCACTGACTATATGTAAACATGTTTACTTATTGTAATTGCCGTTTGATATCTGGTACCAAAATGTATTTGACACTGCCGAGAAGTTATGTTTAGTGATATGTTGAGATATAGTATTGTCATTAAAGTTTTAATTTTACTTCACTTAATTGCCTGTCAATTGCACATCAAAGGGTTGTCGTTTTATTTCGTCTAACATGACATTTAATTCATATAACCCTAAACGATTGCTTTATTACATTAATCTATGAGAAGCAAATATAGTGTGGTAAAAAAAAACTAAATGGGACATCATAATTATTTATTTCTGACGTCATTCACAAGCCAGAAGCTTTTAAGAACAAATAAAATCTGCTGCTGTGCTAAGCAGACTGGAGTCAAACGTACCACAATACTATTAAAAGAAACATCGAAAGCAAAAAAAAAGGCTGGTCACTTCGCTCCAGCAGCGTGCAGGACCTCCACGCGTGCATATATGTAGGGGTGGCCGGGTGTAGAGAGATGTGCAAAAGCAATACTAAAATAAACACAGGATTGGCGACTCCAAGAAACACATTAATAACAAAAGGAGGCGAATGAAAACAGTGAGTCCACACAGCCCCGCGGACAAGTCGAGTCATACATATCTTGTCTACATTTGAATCTCACTGTGTCCCAATTGTTGACGTCAGGTTTTGCTCATCGTGGGACCTACGAGACTGCGGCGATGTTTCTTTCACCCCCAACTTTTCCCCCTGTATCTGGTGGAGAAACATTCGGATACTGCTGCTTCATCTGCGCATCACAGGCATCACCCAGTCTCAAAATCGAAGAAAATCTTATTTTTTCCTGATGTGCTAACCAGCCAGAGATTATCTGAATACTCTCCTTTTTTTACCTTTTTGGCGTCTCTGTAAAGCTTTCTTCTTGTTGGATTCCAGTGACTCCAATCGGGACATGCACAGCGCCGCGTCAGTTCCCAAACCCTAAGAGCTCTTCATAAGCGCTTTTCTCCCCTTGCTGCTAGTCTTAGGAAACGCAAAACTTGTCCTTCTCCATCTTATAAGGATGAGTTTCTGACTTAAAAATATATAAAAATACCGATGGTTGCGTGATCTGCCGATGGGAACATCTCGGTGAGACTTTATTTGAAAAGTACCGCATCTCTGCACATCGAGTAGTCTATCTGCAAACATTTAACAGCATCGTGGGACGTTTTAAACAGTGAACTCAAGCAGGTCTTTCTGCTGGTTTCCAAAACGCACTCTAATAATTTCCTGCAAAGCCTGCGTAAACTGGCGACCTGCCGGTGGCATCCTCACGGCGCTCCATCTTTCTGAAAATGCAGTTAACAACACTTGAGTGATGGTGAAAATATCAAACATACATCCATCATATCAAATCTGCTCTGTCAGGAACACAGACAAAAAATGACAATCGTCGTATGTATTACGTTCAATGGTCCTTAATTCTTCCTCACTACAACCAAGCATTTTCACTTCATGTAACCCTAACAATCTGTTAGCCTCTGATAATGCCAACCATCCTTCAAAAACGCATGCAATTGCGACATCCATACAATAAAAGTATTACAGTTTTACGCGCTCAGCGTTGTTTTCCTGGTCGACCTACTTTTCAAACTAGTCGAATTACACAAGCAATGATTTTAATTCGTGAATAAGAGCGCGCCACTTCTATTCCCGGATAATAAACAGGAAATAAAGTTAACGCAGAGAAGTGCAGTTTCAGTTTTAGTCTTAGGTGGGATGAATGAGTGTATGCATACAAGTCTAGCCACGATTCCGAAAATGTAATACGCCACTGAAAGACTCGCTAGAAAAGATCTGTTGTTAATAGTTCGCTTGACTGCCTATGCTGGTTACTCGGTATGAATTGGAAAAGATTATGCAGAAACAGAGAAACATGCAATTGGACTGAAGTCGCACTTACCAGCGCCTGAGACGCATAGTGCAACGCAATCATGGCGCTTGTTGCTGTGCAGACTTCACCGTTTTGTGAGAAAAAAAAATTAACTAGTTCAGGGTTTTTTCTCATCATATTAGACACCCAATATAATGTTTTTTTTAACACCCAATATAATGTGTTTCTGGAATCAGCCGTCAAAGCAAACTTCATTGAGCGGTTTCATAAATATGGCTCGCAATTTAGCGTACTTTTACATGCTCTATGAACACGTTCGTTTTTCTTTTCGGAGCCACAAATGTAGACGATCCCTAGAAGGCCTGTGGAGGAGGAGGTTGGATGGGGGCTGTTGCTATGCAAAACATCAGGAATTGAAACTGTCCACAAGACCGCTAGATACTTCGTCACCACTACTACTTATCAACTGTTACGTGGTCTTGTTTTTTTTCTAATCATAGAAACCTTAATTCCCAGTAGCTTTGTGAATTTAGTACTGGTGTTGATGTAATCGATTACGAAATCTTTAACCAGACCATTATACGTGTTATATAGTATTAATCAAGTTTTTTTCAATCAAGTTATTTTTTAGACACTTAGAATGAACAGCAACTTCCTCGTCGGTTTAAAATTATGATGCACTTCTTATTCTCTAAGGTGTTCATGGCCAGTAATAACACAACCCTTTCTAATGAATTTGCTAAATTGGCTATGTTTTCCCAGCGAGTGGTTGCTTGTGCTTAACACTTCTTCATACATTCAGTCAGACAAATCTAGGTAAGCGTCTAGTGATTAAATGTATTCTGCCGTCGGATTTATTATTTTGCACTGCTATCCAGTGAACTATTTAGGCTGTCATAGACACGTAGCCTACTGAAATATGATTGCGTTGAGTAACTAATCTAGCATCTAAGTTTTTATTAGTGGAAAAACTTTCACTAATGATGCATATCTTTATCGATTATTATTAAATTTGGGACTTAGAATTACCCACGGTTTTGGGGAAATGCAACACATTCTAATGTAACTTGGAAGCGCGGTTGCGGTGTTTACCAATAGTAAGTCACGTGTAAAACATATTTCTGACCTTGATTTTCTACCCTTGTTTCCATGCCATTTGGAACGGAGACTGCTCGATCGTACTACGCGATTGGAGGGCTCGGGAAGAGGAGCATCCGCTCCGCGTTCAATTCCCGGAGGTTTCAACTCTAGGGGTCGCTGTTTAATGACGTGTGCGTTCTGTGTGGAGTTTTCGACGCTCGACATACATGTCCTTCGGTGAACACACCATCTATGGTATCCGTGCGTACGACCCTCTCACCTCGGCTTCCGGAAAGGCGAGGAGTAGCGCTGCTTGTTTACGGATCGCTCGCTCTTCATCAGCGATGGCCTCGATGTTTTCTTGCTGCCTGGGATGCTGTGGGGAAGGATCATCGGGGCACATCCCTATGAAGGAGATGCCCTCGGTCCAGTTGGATACCCACCATATGGGTGAGCGGTGTTTTTAGCACAACACAGTGACATTTCTGACTTGTGCTTATAACATGGACGGCGTTCGTTACGCCGTGTATCAGCTAGCTATGAATTTTACAACATCCGTGGGCTTACTTTAGATTCGTTTCCACGGTGTCGTATTGTGTTTTTTTTTTTTTTTTGCTGCTACAGATCTAAGCCCAATTAACAAGCTGTTGCGATTATTTGCGCGCAGTATATGCATTGACTCGTGTGAAATTAAGTTGGACCAATAGCAGTGGTCCGTAAAGCTGGGCACACGACTGCCGACAGTTGACCGTGTTACTCAAACGTGCCCGGCAGGTACCGATGTGGTCATCGTTAAGAGTGGGAGAAGGATATGTGGAACTGGCGGTTGCCTTGCCAATGCTCCGCTTCACCAGAACAAGAGTTATTTTGAATTCAAGGTTCAGTCTACAGGTGAGCCCCGCGCTGACTGACAAAAGATGTAAATGATGTATCGCAACTGCCTATTTCTATGAGTTTTCCTGTGATTTTAAGAATTTAGATTTTTTATTATTATTATTATTATTATTATTATTATTATTACTATCATCATCATTACTTTGCTAGTTGCTCATACAGCCACCACAGAAACCTCACTCTGGTGACTCTTGGACGGAGTACACCTGAAGAAAAACTGCTGCATTTATTTTGTAGCTCTAAGCATATAAGTGTGTCTGTCATGCCTTTAAATGGCGGATATCCGGAAGAATAAAAACTTATAAGTAAGGGGAAACAAAAGGAAAATGTTGCATAAGTAGAGTGTTAATTGGTACCAGAACTAGCCACTCGCCTGTGTTTCCTCATTGGTATGACGTTTAGTGTAGGTCAGTCATCAAGGGTTTCTGTCTTGCCTCCAGGTGTGTGGGGAATTGGTGTGGCTACCCAGAAGGCCAACCTGAATCAAATACCGTTGGGGAGGGATATTCACAGCCTGGTGTTGAGACACGATGGGTCAGTCTTCCACAACAACGAAGAAAAGAACAGGCTCCCTGCCAACAGTCTTCCACAGGAAGGCGATATCGTGGTGAGTATTTGAAAATGGACTGAAAACCAGCTCTGAAACTAAAATTAGACCGTAGATGGTATAGCATTTAAATGGCTGTACTTGTGACCAGATGTTTGTTATTTCATGTTACACGTTTTATAGTTACAACAATTTTCAGTAGTTGGTAGAAAGGATTTTATTAGAACATAACCAGCTGATACCAAACTTGATATTCAATATTTCCAGGGTTCCCACAAGTCATTGAATATCAGGGAATTCAAAAAAAATCTGTTTCAGGCATGGAAAATCAGGAGATTTGATCCATTTGGGGGCCAAGTCATGGAATATTAGGGCATTTTGTAGCTTCTTTAGTTGCCATTCATCAAAATGCAATGTTTTTCATGCAGTATTTTCTTTGAGTTATTACACGCTTAGACTGGGTGCTAAGAGTAGATGACAGAAAAGCTAAATGTAAAGTTTGTAAAAGTTCTAATTGAGCTATGAAATGTGGGAGAGGGGAGCCCTTTACACGCAGTAATTGGTGGGTTTAAAATACCGTGACTGGTTTTTGTCTGCTCAGCAAAAAGGTGGCCTGTTTTTCTATTCTTTATAGGTTATGGAAATTCTGCTTTTTAGTCAGTGAAAATCAAGGAAAAGAGAGAGAATTTTACATTTGACTTAGTGGGGACACTGTATATCTGCCAATTCAAAGTCCCGATCCATTATTTGAATGCGTTTTTTAATATATCTTAAATACACACACAGACTAACACAGTAAGGCATTCTTTATCTGAGTAAGCCTTGCAATTTTGAAGTATTCTTCTTCCTTATAATGTTTCTGCAAACGCCTCAGATTAGATTCATTGTATGAAACAACACTGTTTCTGCCTCCTAACAAAAGGATGGTATTGCAGACATGGCTGGGGCTCACTGCTGTGTGCCACAACCTTAAAATCCACACAGCCAACGTAAGTTAGGCGGATGCCGGAGACTAAATGGATCGGCTTTTGGATCAGGCTGTGGTAGCTGGTACCGGTAAATTAAAAAAATGCCTGGATCAGCCCCGATTCCAATTTTTGTCAGCTTGGGACATCACTAGAATAAGTGTTTGGTAAGGAAATACCAGCTTTGAGCATTCTTCTCTGGAAAATGAGTTAATTAAAACAGAAGATTGGACTCTCAAATATCACTTTGTGATATATGAATGTTGGTGTTTAGTTGTTTTAATCAAATTAACCTTATTAATCTGTTTTTCCTTTTTAGGGTGTCACATATGACCATGTAGAGCTGAATTTATATTTAAATGGAAAAAATATGCACTGCCCAGCCTCAGGAATTCGTGGGACGGTTTACCCAGTGGTTTACGGTAAAGAGCTGCACCCGAACTTAATACACATTTTTTGTTTAATGTTAAGAAAATACACTCTGTTCACCCCTTGTGAGTCCAAAAACTCCTCCAGGGGCACCGGATAAATGGCTCTTCTTGCATTTATGTCTCACCTGATGTGTGTGTTGCATGGGAGCGCAAGATGAGGGATGCAAAAACAAGGTTGTATGATATCACATAGCGACCGGGGCAGGTGGGGGGGTGATCCACAAAGCAGAATTTTCCAGTTAGCTGGATACCTTAAGCCAAATGTGCCAACTGTCCAATAGGAGAAGAGGTAAGCGGCATTCCTATTGGACAGTCCTTACATTTGGCTTAAGGTATCTGGCTAATGAAGAATTTCTGCTTTGTGGGACACCCCCCAGAGCTTTAGATGATGTGCGTGAAAATTTGTCCCGATGCCATCTTTTTGGTACTTAATGGACATTTACTTGCACCCACAATTTAAGCAGATTAGTAGTAAACCTACAATATTAATGAGAGGTGTGTTGTGGTGGCCAAAAATGAGTAATCTGTGTATTCGGTGTATCCTTATGTTTTTGTAAAAACCTCATTCATCCACAAATCTCCTCTTTTTAATTGTGTGGTTGCTGATCCTTCCTTTTCTTGACTTCAGTGCTTATTACTTCCATGATTTACCAAAACAGTTGCATGTGGCTCTGCTAACCGAATTTAATAAACATAAGGATACACCTAATTTATTCAGACTACTAACTTTTGGGCATCACAATACACCTCTCATTAATATTTTAGACATACTACTAATCTGCTTATTGAATTGTGCATACAAACATCTGTATAGTACTGAAATCCTGGTGGCCGGACAAATTTTAAGCCCATCATCCAACAGCCTAGTGAGTATTGCACATGCACAATATAATTGTGATGTGATTTCGTGCAGCCCTATGCGAAAACCTAAGAATTTCGACTGAATGTGTTATTCTTCATTAATAACTGGTGTTGCCACTAGAGGGCAGGATACATTCAGAGTTGATTCTTTTGCTTCACTTTTTTTAAATGGACAGTGTGAAAGCAACTTTTCTGTGGGAGAAATTACCTTTTCCCCCACCATTAAGCTTCAAATTGAATGTTATATTTTGATTAAACTTCTGTAAACTCCAACATGTCTTGTTTAAAAACAATTTTGCCCACCCTTCTGCTTTGCCCTGCTGAAAATGTACTCGTTTGAAGCCTCATGTGTTTTCTGCCTTATCTTGCAGTGGACGACAGCGCTATAATTGACTGCCAGTTCAGTGACTTCTACCACACTCCCCCTCAAGGTTTTGAAAAGATCTTATTTGAGCAGCAGATCTTCTGAGCTGTGGGCCCTGTCTCCATGTGAACCTGCAGCCAGTCTACCCTGTTGCTTTTCCCCGTCTGAGCTGGACCTGCAGATTTCTATGACCCACAAGTTCTTGCCCAGTCTGGCTTGAGTGTCCCTCTGTGAGTGTTGTATATTCAGGCTGTTCCACGTCCCCTTGTCAGGCGAAAGTATCGCTTTCTGATATTACACTTGCCTCTGATTGCCTCATGTATTTGCTGCTGCAGTTGCTGTTGTTGCTTTATTTTAAAGAATAACTAACAGTTGTTAGCACAAGTCCTCAAGAGCTGAAGGCTTCGTTTCTGCTGGCTGCAATTGTACACACTTTCACTGTCAAAAGGCCATTATTTAAGTTTATTTTGTGGATATACAATGACGTTAACATTACAAAATCGTGATAGTGGCAGTCAGGGGGTCCTCCCTAAGAGGAAATGCTGCATCCATAATGTGTTTTCTTTTCTTTTTTTTGCCTACCAGTGTGTGTGTGCCCACATGTGGAGTTGTGTTGCCCACATGTGGAGTTGTGTTGCCCACATGTGGAGTTGTGTTGCCCACATGTGGAGTTGTGTTGCCCACATGTGGAGTTGTGTTGCCCATCACGGTCATGTTCCTTTCCAGGCCTCTGCTCACCATGGGGAAACAGGCAAGTGGTTTAAAAGCCATGATTTTCATGTACTTCTTACAGATGTATACATCAGGCTGGTTTCTGTTAGTAGTATTTTGCTTAATGTGAGCTTTATCTGTTTGAAAATATTTAATCTCCTGGAGGATTGGCATAAACATGCCTATTCTAATGTCTGGCAATTTAATAGTACTTCTTAAAATATTTTATATATGTAATTGTAATGATTGCAGACAGTTTTACTTCAGAGGTTTAAATTTTATTTAAAATGCTTTTTTTAAAAACTTGGTATCACATTGGAAGAACCCAGCTAAATGAATGAGTTTGGTTTGTTTACAGATTCAGGGAGCATTCAAAAAATTATTAAAAACAGTTATTTAAATATTAAGTTTTTGCACTGAAGGGATCTGAGTGTTCAAGTGTTGAAAACCAAATCTTTGTGATTCTGCACTAATAAACTTTTTTTTCCCTCCCCAATGACATGGTGTCTAACTTTAATTACAACTTGTCCTGAATTTAATTAATCCTAGTTGTCAGACACAGTTAAAATATCCTTAGGCATCTGGATGCTGTCCTGATGGCTTTGAGCCTGAAGATCAGGAAGGAGAGATTGCTGTTCACTCGGAACTAGTTCATGGATCTTGTGTGAATGTGTCTGTCAAAATGGGATAAAACGTGTACTTTCGGCCTCCATTCACCACGTATATGGCCTCAAGTTAAAATTACTTTTGGGCATCGTTTTGCCTGCCATGAATTAATTTGATACCCGCTTCGCATGCTTTTTTATACGCAATGTCTTCTCAGAAGCAGTTACGATCTGTTCTACGTGAAGCTCTTCCCACTCCCGGCGCCCCCGGAGCGACATTAGTCGCCCGGCGTAAATGATTCTTATGTAACAGCCGCGAACCCAGCCTACGCAAAAGGGCCGGTGCTCGAAACGCCATTGAATAGTGTGTTTGCGGCCGGGGGTGTGGCAGAGGACCGCCGGGCTGTCCCTCCCCGGCGAAGCCTGCACACGTTACGACCTCCTGGCGTCAGTGACTGCGCTTGGCTCCTCCTCTCCACGCCCCCCCCGGCCGGACGCGCTCCGCTGCGCCTCGCCGCCCCCCTTCCCTCTCCGCTCAGCAGCGGGACAGTCTCCTGTCTTTCACTGGAGCTCCGAGCGCCGGACTGCACTCCCCCCCCCTCCCCGAGCACACAGCCATGGCAGACAACGCCGGCTTGGAGAACCACCGCATCAAAAGCTTCAAAAATAAAGGGCGCGATGTCGAGGTGAGGCGATGGCCGGCAGAGGCGGCACGACGCTCGGGGTGCCTCTCCGGGATCGTGTCAGTCTTGGCGGCGGTGTGACTGGATGCTCAGGGTGTACGGTGCGGTCTGCCCCGGAACATCCTCCACCCCCTACGCCGCCATCAGGCGCAGCGGGCGCGGCCTGTTAGAAGGCCTCACCGTAAACCTGGATCCATGCCGCCGAAGCTGGTAGCCGCCCGGCCAGCCGGCGTCCCAGGCCCGCTTTGAGCATCTCATTTCTAGCTTTATTCCTGAGGCCTGTCGCCGGGCCGCGCACCGCTTAGCCGGGTGTGTATTGTCGGCATTGGCTTAACAATGGTGTTTAAGCAGCCGCCTGTTTCTGCGCGGAATAAGGCGGCTGCTTGTGTGTTTCTTCGTGCTCCACGGGCTCACCTGGGTTAACGTTCGGAGATTAACTGTCCGATTATCAGATGGAATTAATACTACGCAGCATCGCCGGCAGCCGCGCCGCCCCGAGAGGTTAGCATGCTAGCGCGCTCGCGTGTTAGCCGTTAGCATGCTAGCGTGTTAGCCGTAAACCCGCTAGCAGGCGCATCTTAACGGCCGGCAGACCGGAGGAGGGCGGCTCTCCGGAACAGGGGAGGCGGCTCGGAGTAAGGGAACAGGGACACGGATAACTGGAAACGAGCTGCTGATGGATGTGCTCTCTGGCCGTTGGTTTGGTAACGCGCGGTGGGATGTGCCGTACGGACGCTGCCTCGGCCACCTTCCATTCATTTATGTAAAACGCCGAGCGCACTGCCGGCCGGCTCCCCTCACATGTTAGACGATCCCCCAGATTAAACGTTTTAATCCGCTTCCTCTTCGTGGTTCTGTGCCCCTTCCTCCGAGCTGCGTGTCGCACATTCACACCAGGCGGCTTTTGGCTTCCTTATCCGGTCTCATTTCCATCACCATCGTCGCTCGGGTTCATTCCCTTTGTTTTACCCGCAAAAACGATGGACGTAGGCGCCGAGATATAATTTAATAGAATATAATTACTTGACATTCTATGTTATGGCCAGCGTTTGTCTGTGCTGCACTTTTCCCTACATGAATATTTACAATCGTGTCCAGTTATTCCGTTATGTTGACTGCTCATGGTTCCCAAAAACTGATCAGATTTGCTGTAGCATTTCCCCCCCTTGATCAGTACTTGTCTTTAAACTATAGATGTTAGTCTTATAAATAAGTCACTTCATATGGAAGATGGTTTTGTCATAGTTTATCCTGTTTAACCGTTTTTTGAGTTGTAAAGTTTTGTGTATTGTGCAATGAATTAATATGCGTTGCGTGATTTTTTTCTACAACAGGGGACTGGACACCATATGACACCACATTTTAGTATTAGTAGCTTAATAATCATTATATTTTAACATATTTTTGTTGTAGTTCGAGTGCTATGTGAGAAATGCTTTCGAGAATTTTTAGAATTAAGTGATCAGTGTCAACACACCACAGCACACAGTGCGCAACAACGAAATGTGTCCTCTGCATTTGACCCATATGTGACTTTCGTGACATAGCAGGGGGCAGCTAATTCAGCGCCCGGGGAGCAGTGCTTGGGGACGGTACCTTGCTCAGGGTACCTCAGTGGTGACTTGCTGGTGGTGGATTCGAACCTGCAATCTTTCAATTACATTACATTTCAATTACCCTAACCATCAAGCCACCACTGCCCTAGAGAGTTCTTAACTCTGATGGTAGTTTTGTATTATCCTCTGCGATCTGTGAATAGAAAGATGCATCGACAAAATTAGTATGAAATGAAACTGTTTGTTCGTTTTTCCTATTTTTTAAAATTTTGCCAGCATTTATTCGGCATGGTTATGTGAATATGTCACCTTGAACTTTGAATTATCGTTAAATTAGTTTTTTTTTTGACCTGGCTGAGAATACTCAGGGGCTGTGACTGCAATGTAGCGCCAAGCTAATATCATCCATGATTACTGGTATCAGGCCATGTGGTGTTCGGTGGTGAAAGTGCTTCAGTAATGCTGGATTTGGGCTTGCTAGCTTCAGGGTGTTTTGTAAAATAAGGTCTGCTCAGCGAGAGCCGCACCTATTCTCTGGCTGGATTGTTTTGGTATCCATGCGCACCGTGGTAATGCGATGTGAATTCCGGTGATTGAGGCAATAATTGTGTCTCCTGCTTCTCATGGTAGAGCTGTCTTCTAGCAAGACTGGATGTTTGTGTAGCTAATGCTAAAGCTGTGGGGATGTTTGCCCAGAGGCAGTGATTCTCCTCGTGGTTTTCAGAGATGCCCCTATGTGCTCTGGGTGTTCTTTTCAGTTCTCTTAAGGTTTTATGGACTGGCAATGATCATGATCTTGATCTCACCTCTACTAGCATGTGGGAAGTGAATTTGTGTCTCCTTTGTTTTGCTTCATTTGTGGACTTGGAGACTTTAGTGTTCATTTGAAGTTCACTTAAGTCTGTGACTCCTGAATTCAAGAAATATTTATACAGTTTTTTAATGTCTTAAAAGCATTGATAATTGTAATTCATGATTAGAATCACAAGTGCTTTATTTTGGAAGAATTTGTTGCAGTATTTTTCTATAATGTGCGAAGTCGCATGTAATCACTATCAGCAAGAGTTAATCTGAAATAACTCCCAGCATGCAGTGGTGCAAGGCTGTACAGTCCTCAGTTTGTGAGGAAGCTGGAACCCAATGAGACTGAATATGAAAGACTTAGTCTTTTAATCCAGGAATTAAAGCAATTGATTACCGAATGCTGTGAAATTAATATTCAATTGTAGGTTTTTACCAAAACATGTCACAGAATTTAGCCTTGTGGAAATGAGGTTTCCTGAGAGCCAGAGAGCGTGGTGCCTCCCAAATTCCCAATGCTATGGGGCTGTCGTCGTCGTCGTCCCCCCCCCCGACAGAGGTGGGTCAGGGCCGCCAAAGCCGCTGAATGAGCCTGTTAAATCGATAAATGTAAATGTTCATTTTTTTTGTTGGCGGAAAACTCATTAAAGTTGGTGGCCCTGGTGTGAAAGTAAAGCCTGAACACAGACGAAATATATTACTGCCATCTGCACTTGGTGCTTACATGCCTGACCCAGTCTGTGCATGTGACTGTTTGGGATGGTAACACTAGCTGGGAGGCTGCATCACAAGGTCTAATATGATCTAAGAGCAACACCCCCCCCCCCCCTGGCTGGAGTCCTGGGCTAAATGGGTGATCCCCGCGCGGGGCG